TGTCTGATTTGTTTCTGTACTCTCAGAGATGAGAATAGTATTGACAACACAACATGCTTGTTACTTATATGAATCCATCCTCACAACTGCCCTCTAAAGTGGTGCTATTATTGCCTTTAGTATTAGATGAGGAAGTAAGGAACAGAGATTAAGTCCATTGTCTTAAAAATATTCAGCAAATTAAGTGGTGAAGCTGGAATTTGAATACAAGATGTCTTCCCATATTTTTAATACATAGAAGGTACTTGTTTAATATTTGTAAAATGAAAACAGCTGTGAAAGCATAAAGTATAATTGTGCAAAGAAAGGGCGCCATCATACATGGGCACTGATTATAGTAGGCTTCCTCCCAGAAATTGGGTACAAATATACCCTTTTTTTAAAAACTAATGTGCCTAATACATGTATAGTTTGAAAAAATGAACCCACAGTGCCCATTAAGGGTTCCTGCTGCTTAGAATACCTTATGGCGGCCCATTTTGTTGTGTAAAGAACCCCTTTTGTCACATCACCTCCTAAACTGTTTCATTTATACAATTATTCTTTTCTCATGTGACTATCCTTCAGTAGATCTTTTCCACTCACCTACACTAGCCACCCTAACCTCCTAGAACTGTAAGGCTGGAAAGAAACTTGGTGCCCTCTTCTGGGGATTTGGGGCATTGAGCCACAGGGTACATTTATTTCTAGGAAAGCAGGTCAAATTCCTTCCTTTCCATTCAAATGGTAAGAAGGAGGTTGGTTTGAGGGTCTTTTTCTGAAAACAAGAACATTGGTCTGAGCCAGGTGGCAAAGGCTCACAATCCCAGCTGCTTTGAAGGGTAAGGCAGGAGTATCCATCAGGCCAACCTGGGCAACTTAGTTCAGACCCTATCGTTTGTGGCAGGGATGCTTTGAACATAGCTATGTTTTTACAAAGTTAGGTCATGTTAATTATAAATAACTGTACCAATTACTGATCAGATAATTTAAATATTATATTGATTTTCTTCTATAAATTTCAAGGTTTAGAAGTATTTGAAATTGTATACATTGATAATTATTAGTAAACTTGCTTTAACAATAGAATATAAAAAGTAAAGAAATGTGAGCTGGGGATAGAGCTCAGTGGTAGAGTACCTACCTGCCTGAAACTACCCTTAGTTAAATCTCCAATACTTGGGGGAGAAACACTGTGCCTCCTGAAGCTGTAGTGAATAAAATAATATTTCTGGTGAACCTTTTTTTTTTGAGACAGTGTCTCACATACATACCCAAGATTGGTGTGAAACCTGCAATCTCCTACCTCATCTACCTGACTTCTGGGCTTGCAAGAGTGAGGGCACCATACCCAACCATTTTTAAACATTTTAAGGGCTCCAAGAATTTATTTTCTTCAGTAAGGTACATTTTATATATAATTTAAGGCTATTAATGATAAACACCACTTATTGAAGATTATCTAGTTGCAAGATACTTCATATAAACTCTCATTTATACAAATATTTCATTTAAATCACATCAAATTCTGATAACAGTACCAATGTACAATTAATAAAACACGTGGGGAAAGTCCCAAAGTGGAAGGGCCAGGAGGTAGAGCCTCAGTGATGCTTCTCACAATTAGAAGATGACCTGGGATGTAAGTCAGTGGTAGAGTACTTGCCTAACACTTGCCAAGCTCAAGTTCAATTCTCACATCACAGAAAGAAAGTGAGAGGGGTGAGTGGGGGGATATTGAAGGCTGAAGGGGCTTGTTGGCTGCCTCTCTACAGCCCATGAAGCTGAGATAAATCCATGACTCTAAGCTCCAGCTTTATAAGGCGTGCAGCATAGATCACAGATAATGAAAACTGACCTACACTTGGTTGCATTAAGCCCATTAGTCCTCACAGAATTTCAGTTTACCTCTTAGAAAATTGAGAGGATGATTTCTATGAGGAAATTGGAGGCAAAGAGAAACTGAGTAAATTGCCCAATACAAGCTAACAAGTGCTGGACCTGGAATTTGCCATGAGAAATAGAAAAGAAAAATCATAGTATAAATATTGAAAGAACTGGGTGCTGTTAAAAAGGGATGCCTCAACACCAGGCAGTGGTGGTGCACACCTTTAATCCCAGCACTCGGGAGACAGAGCCAGGCGGATCTCTGTGAGTTCCAGGCCAGCCTGGTCTACAGAGCGAGATACAGGACAGCCACAGCTGTTACATAGAGAAACTCTGTCAAAAACAAACAAAAACGGATGCCTCACAAGGGTTACTATGGCAAAAGGAGAAATGTCTACAGTGTTACCGCATTGTATACAGGCATTTTTGTAAACAAACATGTTAAGGGCTACATTAGTGTCAAGAAAAATTAATTTGCATGCTGCACATATCAAGCACCATCAAAGTCAAGGTAAGTTCTTGAAATTTCTGAAGAAAAATAAATGACCAGGAATAGAAGTCACAGATGTCCATCAACAGCTGAATAGATAAACAAAATGTGATATACCTGTTAGTACACACACACACACACACACACACACACACACACACACACAGAGAGAGAGAGAGAGAGAGAGAGAGAGAGAGAGAGAGAGAGAGAGAGAGAGAGAGAGAGAGAGTTTTATTGGGCCATAAAGAAGAGCATTAGTGGGACTGGAAAGATAACTTAATGCTTAATAGCATGCACCAGTCTTCCATAGGAATCCAATTAAATTCCCAGCAACTATGGGGGTGTTTCACAACCTCCTGTGACTTTCTCTTCTGGTCTCTGTGAGCCCCTGTACTCACCAGTATGTAACATAATCTAAAAGAAATCTGTTTTTAAAATACAAAGAAGAGCAAATGCATGTCATTTGGAGGAAAATGGACCATCATAGTAAGAGAAATAAGCCAGACTTTCTTGTCAATTTTTTTCTCATATGCAGCATATAGAAAGGGATGAAGAGGCAAGGAAACAAGACAGGGTAATGAGGGAAAATGGAAAGACAGACATCACGTTTTCTCTATGACATCAAAGCCTAGGGCGCACTATTTGCAGGAGGAGAGAGTATAAGAGGAATCCATGGGGGTGCATATGAGCAAAGTAGAGTAATATACATATATGAAATGGCATAATGAAACCCATTATTTTGTATGCTATCCAAAACCAAAAGAAAAAAAAATTAAGTAGAAAGCCAAAGAGCAAGGAAGCTGTGTTCAACTGAAGGTCCAGCCTGCTCTACAAAGAGAAAAGCACACTTGAGGAGGAAGCCTGTGCTGCTGGAACTTATGCTCTCTGAATTCAGGGCATAGTAGGTCTCAAAAACGAAGAAGCCTCTGAAATCAAACAGAAAACAAACAAAACTGATGGAAGCAGATGCAGAGATCCACGGTCAAGCCCCAGGTGGAGCTCCAGGAGTCCAATCGGCGAGAGAGAGGAGGGATTATATGAGCAAGAGATGTTGAGACCATGATTGGAAAAAGCACAGGGACAAATAGTCAAACTAGCGGAAACACATGAACTATGAACCAATAGCTGAGGAGCCCCCATGGAACTGGAGCAGGTCCTCTGGATAACTGAGACAGTTGAATAGTTTGAACTGTTTAGGAGGCCCCAGGCAGTGGAACCGGGACCTGTCCTTGGTGCATGAGCTGCCTTTTTGGAACCTAGGGCCTATGCTGAGACACTTTGCTCAGTCTTGGTGCAGAGAGGACGGGACTGGACCTGCCTCAACTGAATCTACCAGGCTGGGCTGACTCCCCAGGGGAGACCTTGCCTTGGAGGAAATGGGAATGGGGAGTGGATTTGGGGGAAGTCTGAGGGGTGGGAGGAGGGAGGACAGGGGAATCCTTGCTGATATGTAAAATTAAATTAATTATAAAATAAAAACATTTTTTAAAAAAGAAAACAAACAAAAAAGAAAACTGCCTCCCACAAATCAGGCCTCACTCATCACACTCAGGTCTTGACCTCATGCCTCATGTTCTCACCAAATCTCCAACCAACCTTGGCGAGAGCAAGTCTATAACTTATCATCTCTTTCAACGGTACTATTGCCCAGGGAAGCTTAAACCAAGTGGCCTACCCCTGTTGCCTCCCATTAGGAACCTAGGTCAGACAAACTCCCCCAAATTCACCTTCCATTGTCTTGGGTTTCTCAGAGGAAACCTACTCACCATCTCCCACGGTATACCAGAAAATTCCAAGTTGGAATTCTCAAACTTAACTACATATTGCAATCACCTGTGAACTGAAAAAAAAAAATCCTCAAGGGCTGGTAACATTCCAGACCATAATAGCAGGATCCTCAGGAATGATACTCAGGCAAGGAGAATCTGAGCAGCTGACTCCAATGTACAGCCGGGATTGAGAACCACTGGCAAGGACTGTTCTTGAAATTCAAGCAGCCACACTCACACAGGGATTTTCATATTCTAGTGTTTGGAGGAACCTCTTGAAGCACCTGCTGAGACCTTACCCTCAGCGAGTTTGTGTTTGAGACTGGATCCAGGAGTATACATTCTTTCTTTTGTTTTCTTTTTTCCCCTCATTTATCTATTTCTTTATGTACATCCCGACCACTAATCATCCTAGGTAGTTTCACCACAAGCCAGCAGCAAACCACACTTCTGTGAAATGCTTCACTAAGAGGCATAGAAGTTGGATGGGCCTGGGAGGCATCTGTCTCTTTAAGGCCTGATTAAGGGATTGCCTTTAAATCTGTGGTAGCATGGGATACGGCTGCTTCCTTTTAACCTATTAGATTGGGTGCCGTCCAGGTTCCTGGAATGGGCCTCTCCTCGTAGGTTACTTCAGCCTGTCTGAGAAGTACTGTGTGGTTCCCACCAATGGAGAGTGGGAAGGGCATGCTGCCTTGTCCCACTTGCTGTTTTTGTTTGTTTTCGTGCCAAGAAGCCTAGTCAGGAGACTTGCTTTGGCCCAGAAGATTCTCCCACAGGAAGCAAGAGAGGGTCTGCCAGCTGGCTTTTCTTCTGCTTTCCTGTCCCGTCTTTGGTGTTTGCTAAACCAGGATGTGGAAGAGGTCAGAGTGATGTCCCTTGGACTTGAGTAGGAATCCGTTGACAAGCACCAAGCTTTTCAAGATGGCCCTTCTCACAATTCTTAGAATTCTTTTTTGGGGAATGGTGTTTTTTATGGAACACAGGGTCCAAATGGCAAAGGCAGGATGGCCTTCCAACACCCCCCTTGCTGACGAACCCACATTGCCCTTGATTCTGAATCTGGCAAAAGAAGCCCCTGACAAGGAGATGAAGCCATGGCCCCAAGGATATCCCCTGAGGTATATGCTGAAATTGTACCAGCGTTCGGCTGACCTGCATGGCCATCCTAGGGAGAACCGCACGGTTGGAGCTAAAATGGTGAGGTTGGTAAAGCCCTCAGCCAATGCAGTAAGGCCTCTCAGAGGTGAGTTCTTATGCCCCATACAACCCTGCAGGGGACAGAAGAGGGGAAATGTGTAGACAGAAAGGAGGTTTGGTGTCTTGTCATTGATTGGTGAGAAGATTGTTTAGTCAAGGGTGACTTTCAAAGAGTTGGAAGCCTAGAAAAAGCTGGCTCCAAGCCTATTTCCCATTTGAGCCACAACATAAGAAAAAATTGTCTTGCGTCCTACTGAGCAATCTTTCCTGAGCTGCAGGACCACTAAATACAGCATGAGCCCCTGCATTTTCTAAGTTGTTATACCTCTTAAACTAATTAAGAAACACCCAGCTGCATTCTCACAGAGGGCTATTTATGTGGTTGGTTGCTCTTTGAAGGCCAAGACTACAAGATAATAAGCTAGGAAAACTTGCATGGCCTCAGACAGGACAGAAACAAGCTATCATCTGAAAGTTAACATACATGGCCTTATGACCTCCCTGTTACTAGATTTAATCCTAATGACAGCCATTACCATTTGCTGTTATGGGGCAATGAGCTAAATTTTAAAGGTAAGAAAAACCAAGGCAGAGAGGTTAGTAACTTGCAACTGTTCCCCAGACACTGCCTGGCAGAGATGAGATTTAAACTCTAGACCATCTGATTCTAAAAGCACTGTGCCAACATCCTTACACCGAGCACTTTTGTTACTTGGTTCACTCTACTTCTGTGGGATTTTGGTAACCATGGTACCACGTGTATTTATTTGTCCACATCATGCTCTATTCTGTTTGAGTATCTGAATTAGATACTGTTTCCAGACTCCTGAAGTAAAGGTAGCCACCAACTTCAGTGAATTCTTAGGAACTTGGTGGGATCAGTATGGGATTTTCAGTGCACTCTAAGATACCAACAGACAGGATTCACACTTTTTTTTTTTTTTTTTGTTTTTCGAGACAGGGTTTCTCTGTGTAGCTTTAGCGCCTTTCCTGGAACTCACTCTGTTGCCTAGGCTGGCCTCGAACTCAGAGAGATCCGCCTGCCTCTGTCTCTGCCTCTGAGTGCTAGAATTAAAGGCATGCGCCACCACCGCCTGGCCAGGATTCACACTTTTTCAGCCAAATAAAATAACTGAAATTTCATATCTATCCCTTGCTATGAGCATTGGAAAAATTACTTTGCAAATATCAGTTTTAATACTATGAGAGGAGGTTGGTAGTATAATCATTTATAGGTGAAGAAACTGGAACTCTAATGCCACACAGCTAGTAATGGGTAGAGCCAGATGTCAAACAGGCTCTGAAACTCCAGTGTCTGTAATCTTTTTTTTTTTTTGGTTTTTCGAGACAGGGTTTCTCTGTGAAGCTTTGTGCCTTTCCTGGATCTCGCTCTGTAGACCAGGCTGGCCTCGAACTCACAGAGATCCACCTGGCTCTGCCTCCCGAGTGCTGGGATTAAAGGCATGCGCCACCACTGCCCGGCCAGTGTCTGTAATCTTAATTACCATACCGTGATGAACCCTCAGTAATAGATTTTAATTTAGCATGAGTTGCTGCATTTAGCTTTGGTGTGTGTGTGTGTGTGTGTGTGTGTGTGTGTGTGTGTGTGTGTTTGGTATATAGGCAAATAACTGCTTCCCTAACTTCTAGGGGTTCCTAGTATTGACTAATGGATAAATAGTCACACAATGATATTAAGGTATGACGAGTGCTTTGGAGAATGACTCACTGCTCAGAATGAGGGAAGCAGGGACGTGAGAGGCCTCAATGAAGAGACAATATTTAAGACGCTACTTGAGAAAGGAATAAAGAGAGTATGTATATAGGCAACAAAATGCACTATTTAGGAAAGAAAAATGGCATGGTGGTGGAGATTCATTTAGCAAATTGTATTTAACTACTGAATGCTATGCATAAAGATGCGATTAAGACAAATATAGTACCTGCTCTCATAGAACACGTTCTTTTGGGGGAGATAAATAAGCAAACTTAAATAATGCAATTTTTGGCAAGTGAAATGCAATAGTGAATAGTAAAATCACCCCTTTCTGTAGGGGTATGGTGGGGGTAGCTTTGAAGAAGTGGTATTTGAGCTGAGGTCTGTAAGAAGTTGTAACTGAGGAAACTACAGAGAACCTGATTTAGACAGAAGGGACATGTAAATGCGTAGAGGGCAGAAACAAGCATATACCACTTGAAGAAGGGAAAGATTAGTGGGAAATGGCAGAAACTGAGACTTATTATAGGCAGGGACTTGCAGGCCTTGAGAAAGGATCTGGGTTCATTACTAAGCGTGGCAGGAAACTAGACAAATCAAGGGTGCACTGGTGATGTGAAGCTTAAAAAGAGGATGCCCAGGACTGCAAGGATCCTGGGTTGACTGTGGGACAACTGGCATCTAGGGCCTGTAGAAGGATCCAGAAGTAGTTGTCAAGTTCAGTCACACAGGATGTATGAGTCATCCCTTCCCTTGAAAAGCTCTTCGCAGACCCTTCCTGGCTCAGGTTCTTAGCAGTCCCTCCCTGCTTCAGGAAACATGTGATGGTCTGAAAGGAAAGGGCAGTTCCTCAGCAGACAGCCTGCTAGAGGTTTGGGTGGGGTTCCTTTGCAGGGTGGGGCAGGGATATGGGTGGGCCTCTTGGAAACTTGGAGGAGGCGAATGTGGGATAACTTAAGGGAACAAGTACAAGAGTAGCTCGGGTCTCCTTCCCAAGAATGAAGGCCAGTGCCGCAGACATGAGGGTGTGTTAGGCATCAGGTCAAATGGGAACTTCTCAAAATATTTTGAACACCAAGACATGAAAAGAACTTCATTGTTGAAAGTGACTGTCCACTTGAAGAATTTCAGGCTTACATATTCAGTGGAAAAGGAAGGTTAGGTGAATAATATATGGACACACTAAGATGTTCCAACACAAGAGAAGGCTTTATCCTGTGCCGTCTGAGTTTTCTAGTCTACTCTTAACCTGTACCAAGAAAAGGAGAAGTTCAGAGCCCTGTAGGTAGAGGCTTCTACTATTTATTTATTTGCTTATTTATTTTTGGAAATAGATTTGTTTTCAAGATTATATTCTGATTACGGTTTGGCCACAGGGTGTCAGCACTACAATTTGGATTAAAGCATTTAAATCTAGATTGCATGCAGTTTGGGGCAGGTTTCTTTCTTTCTTTCTTTCTTTCTTTCTTTCTTTCTTTCTTTCTTTCCTTCTTTCCTTCCTTCCTTCCTTCCTTCCTTCCTTCCTTCCTTCCTTTCTTTCTTTCTTTCTTCCTTATCTATCTATCTATCTACCTACCTACCTATCCATCCATCCATCCATTCATTTAATTTTTTTTTTGAGACAGGGTTTCTCTGGATAGCTCTGGCTGTCCTGGAACTCGCTCTGTAAGCCAGACAGGCCTCAAACTCACAGAGATCCTCCTGCCTCTGCCTCCCAAGCACTGAAATTAAAGGCTTGCCCTGACATCATCCAGCTGGGGCAGGTTTTTTAACAAATAAGAATATTCATGTAATTAAGGTTCTTCTTGAAATGGTATTCAGAGGCATGGTTGTAAAGTGAATGGGCCAAACCTGAAGGAACAGGAGAGATTGAGCTGAAGGAAAAACTTCAGAAGTAGTTCTTGAAGCTGGTGGGAGGCAGAGATGCAAAGATGGTAAACACCCAGTTGTTTCGTGTGAGGTTCCTCCTGCCTTTGAGAGGACAGCTGAAGCACCCATTATTAGACTTTTCCCCCTAAATCTGTATAGTGATGTGACATGGGAATCCTTTCCTAATATATATGTGTTTTGATAGTTTTCTTAATTGGTCACTTTTAATAGTCAACTAATAGTATCATTGGTCTTCAATATATACAACATACATACAAAATGATTCTATATTTGAATTTTCATTGTTAGTAGTCAAAAGTACGATGGATTTATGTTTAATATCAACAGACTTGGGTTCAAATCTTAAACTTGCCAGGTGCAGTCTGCATGCGTTTTTTTTTTTTTTTTTTTTTTTTTTTTTTTTCAGTTCAGGTCATAGGATCCAGGACTGGGACTGGTCATGCTAAGCTTCATCTCCAGCCTTTGCCCAGGTGTCCTTTGTTTGTTTCTGTAAGCCTCAATGCCATTACCTACAAAACAGTGCTAATAACTATCTCATAAGACTATTGAGTATTAAAGGATCTATTATGTACTAGATGGTACTTGTCAGTGCTCAGTAAGTGATAGAATGTATTATATCTTGAGTTAATTTCAGGGCTAATTGCAACTCTCAGTTTATATTCAGAGGTTTTATAGGGGATATTCAGGTAGGAGGCAAGACACTAATGGTGAGTCCTGTTCTTTCATATTTGTGCAGGTTCCTGGCATGTACAGATCCTGGACTTTCCTCTAGCATCAAACGAGGTAGCATACCAACTAATCCGAGCCACTGTGGTTTACCGTCATCAACTTCATCTAGTTCATTACCATCTCTCCTGCCACGTGGAACCTTGGGTCCCCAAATGCCTGACCAAGCACTTTCCTTCTTCTGAAGCAGGTTCCTCAAAGCCACCTCCCATGTCTAAAGCCTGGACAGAGATGGATATTACACACTGTGTTCAACAGAGGCTCTGGAATCGCAAGGGGCCGAGAGTCCTTCGCCTCCGCTTTATGTGTCAGCAGCAAAAAGGCAGTAAGGTTCTTGAGTTCCAGTGGCGTAGCATGTCATCCTTGGATGTCGCCTTCTTGCTACTCTATTTCAATGACACTGACAAGAGTGTTCAGGCTAAACTTCTTGCACAAAGCCAAGAGGAGTTCATTGATAGGGAATCTTCTCTTCTTGTGCGGAGTGCCCGGCAAGTATGCAGCATTGCCTCTGATGTCCCTTGTCGTTCTCAGGAACATGATGGCTCTGTAAAGAACCAGTGTTCCCTCCACTCGTACAAGGTCAGCTTCCGTCAACTAGGCTGGGATCACTGGATCATTGCTCCCCGTCTCTACACTCCAAATTACTGTAAAGGAATCTGCAGTCGTGTGCTACCCTATGGTCTCAATTCACCCAACCATGCCATCATTCAGAGCCTTGTGAATGAACTAGTGAATCACAGTGTACCTCAGCCTTCCTGTGTCCCTTATAATTTTCTTCCTATGAGTATCCTTCTGGTTGAGGCAAACGGGAGTATCTTGTACAAGGAGTATGAGGGTATGATTGCCCAGTCCTGCACATGTAGATAACAGTGGAGTTGTAGCTATCTCAGATTTCCTAAGAAACTGGAGAAGATAAAGCATTATCAGTGTTAAAGCTGACAGTGATCTACCCAGTTTACAGGTTCTATTCCTTATCCTAAAAAAACAAATATTGTGCTTATGCTTAAAATATAAGATCACTTTAAAGTCTATAAATTAAATGTTAGGATCAAGTCTTAATATTTTAAAAAAGTAATTTAAAATGCCATGAAATAGTTATCTTTAGTATTGTTTAAACCTCTTCCCTCATTTGTGAGCTCCTCAATTTATAAAAGTGTTTCTGGTACTGGTAGCATAGCATGGATCAGTATGATTTAACTAGTTAGAGTCCTCAATGCTTGGATAAGATGTTTTTCTGGAGATGTGCGAGTATGTCATTTTTATTGTGACTTTGGGTGAAAAAAGACAACACTGGTCCATGAAAGTAGAACATGTGGAGTCCTGGAGATGACTTCATTCTGGCCTCACCTGTTTTGTGTGTCCTGCTGGATTCTTCTGGGCTGGGTCTCTGGTAGACAACCTTGCTGCTTGAGAGGAAGTATAGAACTCTTCTCTGGGTCTAAATGATATGTGTAGTATGACTCCTTGAGTTTCTTTCCCTTTTGTGGTGCTGAGGATAGTAAGCAAGTGCTCTAACACTGTGCTGTATTCCCAGCCCAACTTGACTCCTCCATAATCCTGCATTTAAGTGTTGGTACAATATTGCAAATAAATGATGCTTTTCTTGTTAAAGACAGTCTTGAATGCTTTGGAGATTGAGAGATTGGGAAGAAGGAATTTATATCTTTTGTTCCCTATAGCTATGATCCAGAGATCTACCCTAATCTCTGAGGGATAGGGCAAGAGGCTCCTTTGAATTTGCTCTCTGGGCAACACTACTAGCAAGCAGCTCTCACTAATTTGCCTATTAGAGATACCCAGTATGTCTCGGGACCTGCATAGCTATTGACTAGCCTTATCACCATTCTCAGTGGGATAGGACCTGACTTAAGGGTGAAGCCATGTGCTTGCCACTGCTAATTCCTATCTGTTTATTCACATTTATCATAAGTTAACTCAGTTAATTGTTAATCTTTTCCCAACAGTTGATGCTCACTGTACTGAATATCTAGAGATCTATTCCTTGGCATCAATTTGCTCTCAAATCTACTTAGAAATCAATTTGGGCTTTACTATTCATCTCTTCAGTGTTCTCATGACAACGCAGTTTCAAGTAGCCATGTCTCCTCTCTTCTCATAAAATCGCCTGCTTTCCCTTAATATGCCATAGTGCTATTGTCTTCCCTGAAAAAAAAAGATGGAGCTCCCTTTGAAGGTTTTACTTGTCTCGTGACTATGTTCTGAATGCCTAGAGCTGAAAACTTAGGAAGTCCTTCAATGAACACAAAAAGTTGACAATTTTTTTTGTATGTGTGACATGGAATACCCCACTATTTATAGATTTGTATGTTTATTTATATATTTATTTTCTTAAAGAATAAACGTGTACTTTGCATATAAAGTATAGTGATTTCAAAACTGTTTAATTTATAAAAGACTATGAAAGCTATGCTATTATGTAAGGTGGTTGGGAAATCATGATATGTTGTGAGCTGAACTGGGAGAACACATTGAGCTTCTCATTTAGCTGTTTCTTTAGTGTTCCTAGGATAGGCATAAACACCCAACAAACCTGAAGACGGACATTGGTTATGGGACTAAGTCCAGAGTTCAACCTCCTGCTTCTTTGGAGTTTTCAGGAAAAAAAACCCATTATCTCCTACCCTTATGACTCCTGGATACCTTTGAAACTTAATGGGAAATTCATGATTAGTTGTCCCTATTCATTAAGCTGAGTAGTCAAAATAAGGAAAACACTGGCAGTATGCTGTCAGTTGCCAATGATGTTATGGGTTTCCTTAAAAAAAAAAGTATTATTTCAGTTGAGCACCATTTCTTCAAGTCTAAAGTAAAATATATGTGTCTTAAACCTTCCTCTGAGAGAAAAGAGAAAGGCTCATGAGTGGAAGAAGGTGTATGGAGACAGGAACTGCTTCTACAGATAAGTGGTAAGCAAACATTACTTGCTTTGGGGAAGAAAAGTAAAGAGAAAAGTCCACCTTCATCCCCAAGAACCACAGACTAGGCTATATCACCATCTAAGTATGGATGCTAAAGGAATGGGCATTTGAACTTGCTTCTGATTCTGGGCTTTGTTGCATTCTTTTTTTCCTCTTTTTAGAAAATAGATTCTTGCTGGGCAGTGGTCCTGCACGCTTTTAATCCCAGGAGACAGAGTCAGGCAGATCTGAGTTCGTTGGCCTATTCTATAGAGCAAGTTCCAGGACCGACAGACAGGACTACACACAGAGAAACCCTGTCTTGAGAAGAAAAACAAGGCCCCAAAACAAAAAAGGAAATGGATTATTTTCCCACATAATATAGCCTTATTGCAGTTTTCCCTCCCTTTACACCTCCCAGCTCCTCCCCACCTCCTCTCCCATCCGGATCTGCTTCCTTTCTGACTCACTAGAAAAGAACAGGTTTCTAAGAGATAATAAAATACAACAAAATGAAATATAAAAGAGAAAACAAAAGCTATCACATCGAAGTTGGACAGGGCAAACCAAGAGAAAGGAAAGAGCCCAAAGAGAAGGCACAATAATCAGAGATCCAATCATTTGCCCATTCAGGAATCCCATCTAAAAACTGAACTAGAAGCCATAATATATATGCTGAGGACCTGGTACGGAGCTGTGCAAGCCCTGTGCCTGATTCTTCAGTCTCTGTGAATTCATATGAGCTTTGCTAAGTTGATTTAGAAGGCTTTGCTCTCCTGGTGTCCTTCATCTCCTCTGGTTACACTCTTTCTGCCTCCTCTTCCATAGGTTTCCTTGAGCTGTGAGAGATTTAACGGAGACATCCAATTTAGGGCTGAATGTTCTAAGTTTGTTCTTGTTCTCTGTGTAATGTCTGGCTGTGTGTCTCTATATTTGCTCCCATCTGCTGCAGGGAGAAGCTTCTCTGATGATGGCTGAATGAGGCACTGTTCTAATATAGTAGAGTGTCATTAGAACTCAATACATCACTATGTGGCAGGTTCTTGTTTGGTTGGTTTTTTTGGGAGGGCGGTTGGTGTTTTGTTTGATTTTTAGATCAGTAGTATTTGGTCTTACCCTATGTCCCTGGGCTATCTAGTCTCAGGATCTTGGTAACCCAAGCAGTGTTGGTATAGGTTACATCTTGTAGAGTGGGCCTTAAGTCAAATCAGATATTAGTTGGTTACTCCCACAAACTTTGTGCCACCATTGCCCTAGCATATCTTTTAGGAAGAACACAATTATAGATCAAAGGGTTTGTGACTGGCTTGGTGTTTATGCTGCTCTTTTGGTAGCCTGCAGAGTACCTTCCTGTACCAAAGATACTAGAAAGTACGGGTGACAGCTTTATGTAGGTACCAGCTAGACTTCTCATGTTCAATGATCTGTGTTGGTGTTGTCTTTAGCAATGGGACCTTGATGTCAGTTCATAGAGAGGAACCTACTGCCTTGGCAAAAGCATGGGTTGTTTGAAGGTTCCCACGGGACCTTCTTTGGCCAACAACTCAATTAGATGTAACCCAATCCTGGTACTAGAAACTTCATTTGGTGACAAGAGATGTCCACTTGAGACTCTGTCCCCCATTATTTGGTGATTTCATTTAGATTGCCTTCATATATTTATATATTTTAGGAAGCTGCTACTTTTTTCATTTTTCATACTACCACTCAAATGCCCCTTAATTTTAGTTATTTCCCACTGTATTCTATCCCTCAATCCCCTCTCCTTCCCATCCCCACTTGATCTTCCCATTCCAGTGCCCCCATTCGTCCGTTGTTATTTACTCTATTTCCATTTCTTAACAAGACCTATCATTCCTATGTTCCTTATTGACCTCCATGCCATCTACTCCCTTACTCTATAGCTACCCTCTGTGGTTGCACAGTTTGTAGCTTGGATATTATTAACTCAACAGCTAATATTCACATATAAGTGAGTACATACTGTATTTGTGTTTCTGAGTGTGGGTTACCTCACACAGGATGTTTTTTTTTTTCAAGTTTATCTATTTACCTGTGAGTTTCATGATTTATTTTTTGGATGGCTGAGCAATACTCCATTATGTAAATGTACCATATTCTCTTTATCCATTCTTCTGTTGAGGGATATCTAAGTTGTTTCTAATTTCTGGCTATTATGAATAGAGCAGCAATAAATATGGTTTAACAAGTGTCTCTAGGGTAAGATAAAACAATCTTTGGGTGTATTCTCAAGAGTGGTATATGGAACTTGAGGTAGATCAATTCTCATCTTAGGAACTGACACACTGATTTCCAAAGTGGCTGTACAAATTTGCAGTCCCACCAGCAATGGATGAGTGTTCCCTTTGCTCCACATCCTCTCCAGCATGAGTTGTCACTTGTTTTATTGGTCTTAGCCATTCTAAAGGGTGAAACATGAAATCTCAAAGTAGTTTTGGTTTGCATTTCCCTGATGGCTAAGGATGCTGAACATTTCTTTGTGTTTTTCACAGCGATTTGAGTTTCCTCTTTGGAAAACTCTGTTTAAATCGGTACTCTGTTTTAAAGTTGAATTATTTGTTTTTTTGATATTTAGGGTTTTTTGTGTTCTTTATATATTTTTGATTTTAGCCTTCTGTAGGATGTGTAATTGGTAAAATCCTTTCCAATTCTGTAAGCTGATGGTTTGTCTGAATGACTATGTCCTTTGCTGTGTAGAAGGTTTTCAGTTTCATGAAATCCCATTTAGTAATTGTTATCTTAATTAGTGCCCATGCTAATGGTGTCCTATTCAGAGAGTCTTTTTATGTGCCAATGTGTTCAAGGCTATCCCCTACTTTCTCTTCTATCAATGTATCTGGTTTTTTGTTGAGGTCTTTGATCCATTTGGAGTTTTGTTTTGTGCAGAGTGATAAGTATGGATCTATTTGCATTCTTCTATATGTATCCATTCAGTTGGACCAGCACAATTTGTTGAAGATGCTGTCTTTTTACCAGTGTGTATTTCTGGCTTCTTTATAAAAATCATGTGTCCATATGTGTGCAGATTTATGTCTGGGTCTTCAATTTGAGTGCATTGATTAATGTGTTTGTTTTTATGCCAATACCATGATGTTTCTATTACTCTAGCTTTGTAGTACAACTTGAAATCAAGGATGGTGATATCTCCAGCAATTCTTTTATTATTCAGGATTGTTTTAGCTATCCTGGCTTTTTTGTGTTTCCATATGAAGCTGAACACTGTCCTTTCAACATCGCTGAAGAATTGTGTTGGGATTTTGATGGGGATTGCTTTTGGTAGGATGAACATTTTTACTATGCTAATCCTACAGATGCATGAGTGTGTGAGATCTTTTCATTTTCTGATATCTTCTTAATTGCTTTCTTCAATGTCTTAAAGTTTTTATCATACAAGTCTTTCATTTGTTTGGTTAGAGCTACCCCAAGATATTTTATATTATTTGAGGCTATTGTGAAAGGTGTTGCTTCCCTGATTTCTTTCTCAGTAGTTTGTCATTTGTATATATGAGGGCTACTGATTTTTTGTGACTTAATTTTGTATGTAGATACATTGCTGAATGTGTTTATCAGGTATAGAAGTTTCCCAGTGGAATTTTTCAGGTCACTTCTATATACTATCATATCGTCTGAAAATAAAGATTCTTTGATTTCTTCCTTTCCAATTTGTATGCTCTTGATCTCCTTAATTTGTCTTATTGATATAGCATAGACTTCAAATACTATATTGAATAGCTATGGAGAGAGTGGGCAACCTTGTCTTGTTCCTGATTTTAGTGGAATTGCTTTGAGATTTTCTCCATTAAAGTTGATTTTGGCTATGGGCTTGCTGTAAACTGCCTTTATTATGTTTATGTATGTCTCTCAAATCTCTAACCTCTCCAGGTCTTTTATCATGAAGGGGTTTTGGATTTTTGTCAAAGGCTTTTTTCTATCTAATGAGATGATCCTGTGGATTTTTTCTTTCAGTTTGTTTATATGGTGGATTACATTTATTTATGTACTATTTGAACTATGCCTGTATCTTTGGGATGAAGCCTACTTGACCATGGTGGATGCTCTTTTGCATGTGTTCTTGGATTCAGTTTGCAAGTATTTTATTGAGTATTTTTTCATCTATATTCATAAGAGAAATAGGTTTGTAATTCTCTTTCTTTGTTAGGCCTTATGTGGTTTGAGTGTCAGGGTAACTGTGGATTTATAAAATGAAAAGGGCGATATTCCTTCTGATTTTATTTTGTGAAATAATTTGAGGAGGAGTATTGGCATTAGTTCTTCTTTGAAAGTCTGGTAGAATTCTGCAGTAGAACTGTCTGACCCTGATTTGTTTGTTTGTTTGTTTGTTTATTTGGTTGGGAGATTTGTAATGACTGCTTTTATTTCACTAGATGTTAT